TCTTTATTACACTGCTGTGGGCAGGAAAAGTATGGCGCTTTTAAGTAAAGTCAGGGTAATAATTAGAATCAAGAGCACTGAAAAAAAAAAAAATTAGAAGACTGTACAGAAATGTGATCAAATCTAGCAGACAATATTAATGAGGACTTTTAGTTTCTTTTTCTAAGAGAGATGAAAGACTGGGACCTCCCTGGTGGCGCATTGGGTTAAAGCACAGCACTATAAAGCTAGCTGCCCCTGCCTCAGCACGAGTTTGATCCCTGGCCAGGGAAGGTGACCAACATGGCGCTGCCTGTCTCACCCGCTGTTTCCCTCAGCAGTGTACTTCCTCAATCTGCCTGTTCTACTCCATTCTGTCTCTGGTGAATCCTCTCACTACCCCTGCACCTCTGACCTGTACCCCAGTTCTGTATGCATAAATAAATAAATAAATTTTAAAAAAGAGAGATGAAAGACTACTAGAGATTTGGTTTTTTTGTTTGTTTGTTTTGTTGTTGTTGTTGTTTTTAAGATTTATCTTTATTTACACGTAAATAAAGGCCAGAGGTATGGAGGTGAGAGGACTTACCAGAGCCAGAGCCAGAGGAGGAAACAGAGCAGGCAAATCTACTGAAATATAGTGCTAAGGGGAACAAAGGGGGAAACAGGAGAGATCTGCCACTCCATGTGGGTCAGCTCCATAGCTGGCAATGGAAATCGTGTTTTAGGAGCTGTGATAAAGCAAAAAGTATGTCTTACTCTGTCCCACCAGAGAAGCTCCCCATTTCCTTTATTTTTCCTCTAGGCTTAATAAACCTGCCTTTTTACATTCTAAGGGGAAAGAGCTTCACTACAAAGATAACATCTGACCCCCAGATGATGGCAAAAGCAAGCTGGTGTCAAAGAAAATCACCAGACACTTATGTCACAAGGATGGACATGCTGGTCCCTGCCTACTCCCTGCTTTCTTCCTTTGTAACCCTAGAAAATACCCCTACCCGCTGCCAAAGAGCAGGATGGTGGGCTTTCAGACACTGTCTGCTGCCCTCCTCAGTTTGTCGATACATTTAACTACTTTCCTTCTCCTCAAACTCCACTCCCTTCTATTAGCGGAGGGACCAGCAAGAGGGTGGCAATACCACCCATTGTGGCCGTCCTAAGGGTTCAGAGTCAGTAAGGAGCTGTGAGTACCCTGGTTACTGATAGCTGTCTGCCCCCAAGTTTGAAGGAGACAGGAAGAGGCTGAGGGCTGGAGTTTTGAGCAGGCTGGAAACTTGGGTATGAGCCACATGAAGAGGCTTCTCCTAAAGGAAACCTCCTTTAGGAGACCGTGAAGCTGAAATTGTACTGAAATGAGATGTAGATCATCTTGAGAAAGACAATCTGCTCCACTTGAATGGACGGACTAGATTTTTGTTAGTGTCTCTAATAAACACCAGTGGCAGGGTGATAAATAGCAGGAGGACATGGATTTTGAAGATTTTGATTTGGGCTGGACTGCCACCTTGGATCCCGCAAGCCACACAGAAAGCTACTAGACTGGTTCATTGAAATGCAAATATATATGATCCAGCTTGTCTAATTTATGCAGGCAGGAGGGACACCTCACCCTCTAGACTAGGTTAGGACTGCCATTCAGTTTTTGTCCTTCTAACCTTAGTGATTCGCTTCTGTTTTTCAGTCTTTGCCTAACTAGGAAATGAGCTCATTTGCATTATTAGCTTTCTGCTTTGCATCTTTACAGGGCCAGGGTTGTTCCGCTTGAAACTTGCTGTAGAACTGAGTCAACAAAAATTGTGTGTGGAATCCACAAATTGTCATACAGCAATAATGTCAGCCAGAAAGAATGAGAGCAAACTTTGAAAGGATGTTTTTGTTTTGTGTTCTGTGTGTGTGTGTGAAATTGTGTGTGTGTGTGTGTGTGTGTGTGTGTGTGTAGAGGTGGAGGGTGGTAGAATATGCTAAGAGAAATGTGTCTAGGAGTGACTGTCTGTCCCATGCATTTTTAGTAAACCTGCCCATAATCAAGATTTGCATAGAATAAAAGATCGAATGAATTTTGGAAATCTGTCCTGTTTCTGCATCTGTGACCATGGTAACAAGATTTCTTAGGATTGTAGATTTTTAGGAAAGCAAATTTTGGATGAATTGTTAACAAATATTGCAGATGGAGAGTAGAAACAACTGTCATTTTGTAATACAACCTTCAACGTGCCAGTGAGTAAATGTGTCCTCACATGTCCTTTTGTACAAAAACCACTAAACCTAACCTAAGTATATCTGGTCACCATCACCATGAACTTACTCTTTTCTGCCTTACAGAAGATTAAAGGAAATCACATTAATATCAGGGGAGGGAGAGCCCTCTAGTGGAAAATCACCAAGGCAGTGTCACAGGAAAGAAAGCCATAAAGTCAAAAAAGGAATGTGAGATTTAGTCCAGAAAATTGAACTGCATCAAGTAAACGTGATGTGACTTTTTATATCCTCCTGCTGATTTGGAAGCTATTGATCAACCATTCAGTCATGTGGAATCTTAAGAACCTACTGAGGACTCTAAGTAGATATTAACATGAAAATCAATTTTCCAAGGACATGAAATGTTCTTCGTAGCCTCACCATAAAGGCCTGGTATGGACAAGGTCAGGGAGTGGGGATGCATTATGGCAATAAATAAAAAAGTTGTGTCTTAATTAGATAAAATGACTGCCCCCATAGCCCAAGGGCTCATAATAGATGGGCTTGCTTACCTTTCTAGTTGCTTCTTTAAATAGAAAAATACACCATTTTAACCCTTATTGTCTGTAATGTTAGTCCCAAATTGGACCCTGACTATCATAATTCACTATACTATTTATCTTGTAACTAGGAAGAAAAAAAAAATCCATACCCTGTTTGTCATGATATTTCTGTTGGCCCTTTAGTCCTGTCATTAATTATTTATAAATAAAATGAGAGGTAGTAATCTGAAAACTTGTAGCTTGAGATGAGTTTTTGGTATTAATAGCTTACACAGTCTTCTTAAAACATGCAGTATAGAATCCCCGGCTTTGCAGGTGATGTATACACAGACGTAAAAACATAGATATAACATTAGGGTCAGGCTCTTGCTCATGATTCTATCATTGACTCTCATCCATGAGCCCCTTTTAGGGGTCAGAAATGCATGTTTCCAGACAAGAATTGCCGTTGAAGCTTGTACCCCTCAAAGCCTGTGTAGAATGCACCACCAGTGCCAGAGAATCAGCTATGAAAATGCACACTCAGCCAAAACAGTTTCCTTTGTTTCTAGTGTGGGGCCTGTCTAGTCAGCAAACCCATTTAACCTTTTATGAACAGACATGGCTTTAGCATGGGTCGTAAACCTTCTACACTTCAAGGACTAGCTAAGGTTTTAGATCTTCTTTGCAGACTGTTTGGCCCAGCAAATATGGCCATTTCTGAACTCTCAGAGTTCTCCTTCCTTGTGGGACTCACAAGGACATTCAGGCATATGCTGCTACATTATATACATGGCTTCATTCCTTGTATGTCTGTCTTGGCCACCCACCTCCCAACACACCCATGCTTTTGAAGACAAGACCAATGTACTATAAGTACTGGGTTAGTTCAGTCATTTCCTGTTCACTCACGCACTCTCCAGTAAACAGTTAAGCCTATGAGAGTGTCACTGCACAAAGAGAAGGGGCCCAGAGGTCCCTCTGTCCAGTTCTATCCCCAACACTGCCAGTGGATAACTGGTAATGAACCAGCTGCTGTACGCTGCCTCCTTGCTAGGAATAGGGGGCCTGCTTCCATAGCCAGGAAAGTGCACTTGAGGCTCTCGGCTCCAGTTCAAAAAGAAGACTTTACAGGCGCTTCAGTGAGGGACAATGCAGACAAGGAGATGGTGTTTACTGATCAGGATAACAACAAGGAAAGAACTCCATGGAAACTCTCTGGGCATAAAGGACTCTCTGAGTTGCCAGGGTGAGAGGGCTATATAAGTTTTAGGGCCTGGATTTGAGAAAAAAGGAATTAAACTTTATTGGCTGAGAAAGCCAGGAGCATGGACTTGGTCCAAAGTCCATTTGTTCATCCGAATGTGGTTAGCTCATTGTTGCTAATTGTGTGCACCCATCAGCTGTAACTCGGGGGCTGTGTGGGGCTCATCACCATCTCATGGGGGCCATGCTCTCTATATGCCCACAGCTCCAGTGTGAACTGGCCTGATCTCAGGATCTGTCACTCCCTGCTGCAACAGTCAGGAGACTCGATAAGCTGCAAGGAAATAGCTCAGGAATGCACAATCTAGAGGGGAAAATAGCAATAAAAATAGGCCAAAGAGAGTTAAGACAGCAGGTGTCTAGGCTTAGAGACATCATATTTGTTTAACCTCTTGTTTACCAACTTAGCCCATGGGAACAGTAAAGTTCTGTCCTTGTCCTGGGACCCTTTATAATCATGGGGACATGTCCTCTTCTACTAAACAAACAGGGGTATGATAAAGAGAAATGTAGGGTGATAAACCTTAACCTCATAAGCACAGATGAGAATTTTCCACTAAGGAAAATTCTGCCCTGCACTGAAAACTACAAAGGAAAAGAAAAGAAATATCCCAAGGGAGAACAGTCAGGATGTTGTTGTTTAGATTGGGGTTTAGAAAAGGCCTCCAAAGTGATGACGTTTAAGCTGAAAATTGAAAACAGGTGGTATTCCTGTACAGCAGGTGCTAGGAACTATTTGTTGCTGTGAGAAATGTTGAACCAGCTCTCCGATCACGTAGAGCTGACTGCAGAAGAGCCTCCTGATCGTGTCTTCCAATGTAAGACCATCCCTCCTCTCATTTAACACCAACCTCAGATATTCTTTCTGGTACTCCCTTTTCTGATAGCCCATGGGGACAAGTATCAGCTCAAGTTACAAAGGAAGTGAAGCATTTGGACGTCTGTGCTGTTTGCAGAGTTAGGACAAAGAATATTCTCGACTACATGTATGGAGTGTTTTATTAGTCCATGGGCTACTTAGTCTAACCATAACACATGCCCCTGATGGCTCATTGGTTCAAAGTGAGAAAGCACACAGCCTGTGGAATTGAGCAGACTTGGGTTTGAACCTAGCACTGTTATCTTAAACAATTTCAGTCTCTGTTTCCTTATCTGTAAAAATCAGGGCAAGCTCACAAAGTTTATTACTATGAATGTAACACACCCAGGCACAGAGGCGCAGAAAGTTACTAGATTTCTGACCTACATTCCCCAATCCTCAGTTTTCTGATCCCTCTGGCTCCAGTTTCCTTTGAACATCCCACTTTTCTGCTCTATGTTCTCATGATCAGGGTCCCTCTCTCTAAACCAGTTCCTGCAGGTTGAATCTGCGCCAGGTATAACACATAATATACCCAAAAGCAGGGAGGGTATGAGAACTGGGGACTGAGCCCCACTTAGAGCCACTCAGGGGATAGTCCAGGGCCCAACTGAGCAACATTACCAACTCCTATCATCAAACTGGGGTCCAGCAAAGGATGTGGTCCAGGAGGGGGCTGGGAACACCAGGAAGGGTGATGGTTCAGAACCAGGAACAAGGGTCAGGATATGCAGAAATCTTGGCCTGGGGGTGGTCCTGTGATTCAGGGCACTTTAAGACTGTAAGGCTGAGCACAACAGGGAACCAATTCTAGGTCCTTAGGGAGACAGTTGTGAGCAGGGGAGGAAGTGAGTCTCCAAGACTGGTAGGTAAGTAACTCACTGGCAAGATCAACCTGGAAGAGCTGATCTGTCGCGCTGGAAAGGCAGACAGGGAAGAGAAGCATGGGCGAAGAACTTTACAGCGGAAGGAAGTTTTGGCTTATCTGAAATTTGTATCAATTATGCAATTATAATCAAATCCCTCTGCTTCCCTTACAGCTAAGTGCAGATCCTCCCAGCTTGAGGAAGGTAGATCCCAAAGGGCGGAGCGCACTGCTGGCTGACATCCAACAAGGAACTCGCCTACGCAAAGTCACGCAGATCAATGACCGCAGTGCCCCGCAAATCGAGAGTAAGTGAGCAGTCAATCAGCCTGCTGTGAGCAAGACACCACAGTTTGCTCAGGGCAGGAGCCATGCTGCTACCCAGAAAACACAGCAGGCCCTCTCAGACCTGCTTAGTGTCCAGTCCATATGCATGAGCAAGTCCGGACTTCCCTCCTGGTCTGCAGACAGTTTGTAGCATCTCTTCCTTTTTCAAATGTTTTTAAAGAACCTCATGATGAGAGAACTTTTTTATTGTGATAAAATACACAGTATAAATCCACCATTTCAGCCATTTTAAAATATTCAGTTCTGTGACATTTATCTACTCTCGGTGTTGTTGAACCATTACCTTTATCTGGTTCCAGAATATTCCCATCAGCCCAAAAGGAAGCTGATATGCATTAGCATTCCCTGCACATTCCTCCAGCCCTCGTCCTTGACTACCACTAAATCTACTCTATTCTGTGGATTTACACATTTTGGGTATTGCATATAAGTGGACTCACAACATGTGTTCTTTCATGTCTGGCTCCTTACCCTGAGCATAAATGTTTTCAAAGTTCACCTCTGTTGTAGATGTGACAGTACTCCAGTCCTTTTTACTGTTAAAGAATTTGAACTGTAAGAATCCACTTACCTGCAGATTTTTTCAGTAATTACATTGGAAAGCTTTTTGGAGATTATCAGTCATTATGGGTGAGTAAATATGGGTTTATTTTCTACATTATCTTTCATTTTGAGGTCTAGTGTTAGTAATGCATGTAACAGTTGCAGTGTTTATATCCTATATGGCAATATCGATGTAACTGCTGACAAAGATGATTCATCTTATAAACAGATGATGTAAACTTAGGTTATCAATAAACACAATTAAGTACTGTATGATTTTAATAATATCAGCTCTTCACTAACTTACTTTATTACAATAAAGTATATAATAGAACATGCAGGAATACAGGATGTGTGTTCATCAATTGTTTATGTTCTCAGTAAGCTTTCCAGTCAGTATTAGGCAATTTTTTGTTATATTTTGCAGGAGTCAGAAGTTATACTCAAATTTTCAAATCCTGGAGGTAGGTTGGGGGTGTCAACACCCCAACCCCCATGTTGTTCAGCTGTGTTTTGTTATATGAATACACTACATTCTGCTTACCCACTTGGAGGTAACATTTAACGGCCACGTATCCTGCATTCTCAACATAGTCTTCAAACTCAATGAGAGAAATAACATTAAAAAATATAGCTTTGATTTCCACAAGAAAAAGGAAATTCAGAGTTTGCTTACAGGACCATAGACTGCAGCTTTTCTGTCTTCCAAAGTATGACAGAGTAGAAGTCACACTGTGTTTGGGCCAGATGGTCCACGCTGAGCCCTGATTCTGCTCCAGACAATTCTAGGAACCTTGCTGAGGCTGTTTGTTCATCTACAAAGCAGGGGAGATACTAATACCTGCTTTTTTTGTGTTTGATCAAAATAATGAACCATTTATCAATATTCTCATGTATTTTAAAATTATACACATTCTAAGTCTCAAAGATAGTCCTAAAAATATTCATTTATTCCATGCCACAGCATGTAAATTGCAACTTACATGGTTACAGGTTAATATACAGGAATGCACAAATTATTTTAAGAAATATTCTCAACATTAAAAAATTAGTTTCTGGTTAGACTTAATATCTATCTGATGATAGCTTTGAACAGATAAGTCCATTTTATTGGAACACTCACTTCCAGTCATTGCGGTGAATGCGAATGTATAAGATTAATGTTCCGAATCGGCTGGCCACATCCACCCACCATTGGGCACTGAGCCCTGTGTCACCTCGCCTATTAGTTTCAGGCCGGAACATTTTCTGCCAGGAATTCCCATCAGCCAAACATCTTCTAATTTTGCATAGCTGGTACTCACCCACGTCTGGAAGGCTGGAATGAGGCACACCCCCTCAGGAGCTCACAGAAAAAAGAGCTGGGAAACGTGCAGGGCTGAGTGCCTAGGGCCAGAGCAGGAAATAATGCAGAAGCACAAGTTGCTGCAGCTTACAGCTCAGGACCAGGCTCTGTGGTGGGCTAGTTAAAATTGCTGACTGGGTTAAGTCTGCAGGTTTCCTCTGTCTCGTCTTCCTGGGGCTAGTACACCCACAGTGTTCGGGCTTTATAATTTGCAAGGTGCCACTGGGTAGCCCCATTGGCATCTACTAAATGGCAATGTTCAGGTCCCTTGGTGTTGGTCACTTTGCAGAACCATCGGTTGATGGTGAGTTTTTTGGCAGGCCCAGAGGGGTAGCACGAGTCTGCAGGGTGCCAAGGCAGGGTGTGTTTGAAAAGACTGAGTAGAAGGGTAAGATGGGAGCTGGAGATGGGAAAGCTGCTGTGCCATGTCAAGCCATGGCCAGGGTGAGCACTGGTTGGCTGATTAGCATTGCTCACAGTCTTTTACTTCCCTCTTCTCTCCAAAGGTTCTAAAGGAGCCAACAAGGAAGGAGGAGGCCCTGCAAATTCCCGGGGCGGGAGCACACCCCCAGCCCTGGGGGATCTGTTTGCCGGGGGGTTTCCAGTGCTGCGACCAGCAGGCCAGAGGGATGCAGCAGGTAAGGAAACATTTATTCTGGCAGCCTTGTGACCCTCTTAATTTCAGAACCAAATGTGTGACCCTCACGTGCCAGTAAGACATATTCTTAGTGAACAGTCATGTAGCAGGGGAGCACATATTTAGGAGCCTGATTACTGCATGGAATTGTTCTCATGGGATCTTTTAAGTCATTGTTCTATTTAAGTCATTCCCTGGTATTGATAGTAGCTGAAGAACAACTTGCCGTATAGTGTAGTGTCCAGCAATGGTCTAATCACAGCTCAAACTGCAAAGTATAGAGCGAGGCATACATCATAATAGGGGATTTTAGTGATATCACACACTGGCAATGTGTGGACTGTGATAGTTCTCAGCCATCATATCAGGTAGGTGCGGCCTTGTAATGAAACAGCCTAAGGTGGAAGGGCTTTAGATAACATTTATTTGGAGTTTATAATTCTCTGGGTTTACAGTTTAAGGTAATCTGATCTGAACTTCCTCTTGTACCCGCAGGTTCGTAGGTGGTACTGTTATGCTATATTTCTCAAATCTCTGGAGTGTCAACTTGGACAACTGACCTGAAAGAGCCGTAGGGTCCCTCAAAATCTAGTAGATTGTTCAGGTTTTTTTCATAGCATGGCAGGGTCTGGGGAGAAGACAGAAGTATACAAAATTTTTTGAGGCTCAATGTTAGATTTGGCAAGTATTACTCCCTGCCATATCCTCTTGTCCAGAACAAGTCACAAAGACCAACCCAAAAATAAGGGTGGAGAAAGATTTGACCTCTGGATGAGAAGAGCTACAAAATCACTTTGCAATATGAAATCAAGTAGATAATCAAGAATATTTTTGCAACTCTGTCAAAGTCAAATGTGTTTTAGTAGGTATTAGATATTTTGAAAGCATTGATGAAAATTAGGCAAATATATATTTATTGTATGCAGGAAAGTGTTATTCCTATTACTGTGCACTTTAGACAACAAGCTGAGTAAACTTCAGAAATTTCATTTTCCCAGGGAATATCAAGCCCCAACATTCCAGTTATAGAATCTTCTTATCATATGATTTTGCTACCCTTCTCCATGATTTCTTTGACTGTGACATAATAGGATGCATTTACTGCTGCCACCTACTAATAAAGCCCAGCAAAGATAGGAATTCTGAAATGTTTTGAAATCCAGCATGAACCTTCTTAGAGGTTATAGTCATGTCCTCACTTTTTCCTGAAGGTTGTCAGGAAAGACAGTGCTGATTTCTTTCATATTGATGACCTCATTAAAAGCATTTGTTTCCAACTCCTTCTTCAGAATTCCTCAATGGCATCAACAGAACAGCCATTGAGATATCAAACTTCCACTAGCTTCTCTTTACAGAAATAAAGACAGGAGAAATAATCTCCAGTTGGGTTTTAATGCCAACTAGCCAGAGTCAGTCAGCAATATTCTTACTGGTCTCTAGTAGGGCAGTGTCAGATGTTTGTGAAGATCAGAATTGATACCTTTGGAGGAGATCAGATTCCATGTGGAAGTGACTGAGGAGGGCTGTTACAGGATGAAAACTTGAGGAGGGAGCCATAACAGTGCCATATCCGAATAAGACCACAGGTCTTATCTTGCAGAGCTCAACCATCCACCCCCTTATCATTTAGAGAAAGGACATCTGCTGGCTCACACCCTTCATTCTGGCCATGCTGCCATCCTTGTTATTCGTACGCCTCCCAGGCAAGTGGTAGCCACAGGGCCTTTGCACTGCTCCCTTGGCCCACTCTTCCCCAGGTGTCCTGGGTCCCTCTGTCCTTTCCATCAGGTCTCTGCTCAAGTAGCATCTGTTGAACCTGTCAGTGAGGCTTTCATCATCCCCCACAAAATATCAGCCCCACCCCTCTATCTCCATTTAGCATGCTTGTATTATCACCATCTGGCATATTTTCACCATCTGGTACCATCTGGCATACTTAACTGTCTTATCTATTGATTGTCTACTTCCTCCAAAGATAAGGTCCATGAAAGTAGGAACGAACGGTGTCTTGTTCACTGCCTTAAAAATACCTGTCCCATAGTGGGTGCTCAGTAAATATCTGTGAGTGGAAGGTGTACAAGGGCAGTATGGTTGCTTGAGCCAGTAAGCACAGAAACTACTATGTCTCTGTTGTTCACAATAAGTTTAAGGGACCATGAAAATGTTTAAATTTCTTTTAAATTCGGGGGGGGGGGAAACAGGCACTTTTAGAGTCAAAGAATACATTTGTTCTTACACAAGGCACTCATAAAATATAATTTTAAATGCTTTTTTTGTGGAAGAAGGGTCCCACAAAAGCCAAATGCCCTGGGTCTTTGAAAGACATAACGAGGCTCTGACACAGAGCTCCAGACTGAGGATCCTTGACATAACATATCTGGTAAACACTGCTGTGTTTACCACTGTGCTTAGAGAATGTATGATGTGTTTACCACTGTGTTTAGAGAATGTATGATGAGACTTCCATGAGGTTTATGGTCCTCTAGAAACATAAGCAGATAGAAGGAAGAAGAGACATTTTAGGTACTGATAACCCCCCAGGCCCTAGAACAGATTCCTTTCACATCAGCCATCGTCCTTGGTAATGTGAGCTGGCCTTTCTTCACCCACTTCATGGCTTCCTTTTTTTCTAGTTGAATTTATAGGCTTAGCACTTTTATTATGAAGGAAAGCCTCCTTCCTTCCTTCCTTCCTTCCTTCCCAGGGCACTCTCTCTGGGCTTTCTCCGCTGGCCCTCTGCCCGCGGGCCAGCCTCACCTGCAGTCCCCCCCAACCCCAGCTCCTTTCTCTCTGGGTCCCGCCTTTAACACATGCTGCCAGCTCTCTGCTTCATCTCCACCTGGGCATGAACATAAGTCAAATGAGGTCTTCTGCCATCCATGCGCCTGGGCTCATATATTATAATCAAAATGGGTTTGCCCATTTCTCCTTCAGTTAGTTGTTAGTAAACAGAGCCTCCTTTAATGAAGCCACCTTAAGGGTTTTGAATAGATGGTTTAATCCCAGTTGGATTATAAAGCTAGGATTGGGGGAGGTGACTCAGTGTTTCTTTCTGTCCCTTTTAAGGATGTGTAGTAATTGGGTATTTAGGTAGGCCTCCCCTTGTTGCTGCTTGTCTTTGACACCCGGGGGGATCAGGCCGGCAAGAGGGATCAGTACAGACATTATCTTCTATATTAACCACCTCAAAGACAATCCTCAGCAAAAGAGCAGCTGCACTCCTGCCCTGCTTTGAGAATAGCCTGTCCTAGAGTTGGAATGAGTCATGGGATCTGAGTGACTGATAATCAGAGCCAGAGGACCATCATCCACGTAGACAGTCAGATGCCTCACCCCTGCCTACTTAGCCTCAGCCCAGTGTTCCCTCTGCCACCCCATCCTCACCATCCTTTGCTTTGATTGACCTGACTTTGAGCATCAAGCACTTTAGGGTTTAGCACTTGGTTGGGTATAAGTACCCTGCAGATTCAGCACTCAAGAAGCTCAGAACCACTAATAGATGCTGCACTTATCTGATGTAAAAGCTGTGTTTCCTATTCTGCAGCACCCACTAAGTTGTAAGTGTGGGAAGCAACCGTTTTTCTAGTGTTTTTCATGTGTTTTTATGAGGGTTGCAAAACATAGGTATAGTTGGGCAGGGAAAATGTATTATCCGGAATTCCTCCTTGAGAAAATACTGTATTTATTGAGATTTCAAGTTGGGATCGATGTGGTAAAAAAAAATCTATGAGCTAATGAAGCCAGGGGACTTCCAGTCCTTGGGAATGGAAGTTTTTGTGAGAAGGGACTTTGAACTTCTAGAGGCATGGAACTAGGAGGTTCAAGGTCATTGGCCCTGGATCCTCAAGACTGGGCATCTCCCCACTGATGTCTGAGTTACCTGCTGTACTTGGGGGGTCAGGACTCTTTTGTTCTCCATGCAGAAACAAATCCTGCTCCTTATGCAGGGAGGGAGGAAGTCTCCCCAGCCCCAGCTACTGGTTGATACATCCAAGGATTCAAACTGGGACATAAGGGCTGATGACCTAGTAGATGATGGTAAATGAGTGTGAGGGTGGCTTTGAGAAGAGGAAGGATGAAGGAAGTGGGAGCACTCCTCTCTGGGCAGGGAAACTTGGAGGCCTGAGAGAGATGAAGGCAGAGGCAGACTGGATTGGGAAGGCTGGTGCTATACCAGAGACAGTCTGTTATTGGGTGGGCTTGTCTTGGAGGAAGATAGAACAGTTAATGCTGTCAGGGCCCTTGGGGCCCATCCAATTGGCCCTCTGTGTGAGGGCCCTGAGACCTCTCTGGACATGTATCCAGGATGCACTTCCCTGACATCAGCTTAAGAGCCTGAGATGGCCATTGCTTCTCACACACATAGGGCTTTTCCTTTCTCCATGACTAACTAAATCAGAACTGTCTCCCTTCCAGGTGGCAAGACAGGGCAGGCCCCTGGTTCCCGAGCACCTTCTCCCCGGCTTCCCATCAAAACCATCGGTGGCCCACTCAACACCCCTGCATCTCCCAGACTAGGCAATGCCTCCGAGATGGCACATGGG